CTCTCTCTCGCTCTCTCTCTCTGTCTTTTTCTATCACGCAGGAACGATGATAGCTGTATAATGTAGGAACCTGATTAACAACGGGGGCCTCTCCGGCTATCAAGGTCGTCAAGGTTCCTATGTCCGATTAAACAATTGGCCGAACCTTGTTTAGGGAGTTTTGGAGGTCAGTTCGTGCATCATGCGTACACCACTGGCACAGTAGTAGCACAAACTCTGAGCATGAGTCCGCTCCTCAGTATCTCGGTCGCATATTCTCGCTAAGGACTCAGGTAGGGCCTTGTTACGGGGTCATTTCAAATTCATCTGAACTGCACATGCTGGGGGCTGCCGGGCCTGTAAAATCGAAGAATAATTGTTTATCAAGTTCCTTGACACTCCCAAGAAAAGTGTTCAGCAGACATTCGGAACCTCTGGGATCCTGTTTAATTTTGGGATGCCGCCGCTAGAGGCGATCATCACATATTCAGTCAATATCATGAGCTTCGGCTGTTTGTCATCGTATGCCATTGCATCTTCTTCATCTCGTTTGCAGAAGATGCCATGACAGGCGGTCCGCTCGTGCACGCAGCTGATGCTCGGATTGCGGCAGTGGGGCTGCTGGGACCATCGGGGAGGCTCGCAAACAACTGACTCAAACTGGGCGTCTTTCCACATGGCTTTGGTAGCGGGAGCTTATGCTGACGATGGTCGACGCATAGTTGCGCCATGCCGCTTGCTTGGTGAACACACCAGCTATCACCAGCTACATGTCAGGCATTCAGGATCGTCCGCCAGCTGCTCCTGAGATGAAATGTGATGATAGCGAGCTTGGGATTCACAATGATTTGACCATTTGCAATCAGGCAGCTTGCGCTGAGGCTTTGCTAAACCATGGCTCCAAAAATGTGATGCTGAACATCACAGAACAAGGCGAGACCGTCTGCGAGACCCAGGTACTTTGATTCCATGTGCCGCACGAGTCATCACTCTTGACATCTTTCGAGAACCCACGGCCCGCAGTAGCTTATGGGCTCCCGACGTCTGAGCGATAGAGGATGTCAGAGGAGGAACCTCGAAACTTCGCCTTGCAGAAAACCAACCGGCAGAAAGGATAGGGGCAAAGGTGGTGCCGGCCAGCACGAACCCTTAGGGGTACAGTAAACGCTTCAGAACAGAAACCCAGAAGCACAGGATGCCAAGCGCTCGCAAGTTTCGTTGACGACGCAGATCTTCACGTGTTTGGGAGTGAGCTTGAGAGTCTCGTTCCGGATCGCGCGGTAGCTGGCTTGTCGGACTGTTCAATCCAGCTCCTGGTCAGGTGATTGTATCCGCTTTTCTCTGTTGATCTTGCAGCTTGGTGTGTGCAGAGTGTTTTCCTACGAGACGCGTGAAGTCACTCCGTCTTCGAGAGTCAGATGTATGCGGCAGTGCCGAGGAATGTTACATTGATGCTGCTGCTGTTCGATGTCGCATGGACTCTTGCCCAGGTTCATTACACGATGCACCCTGGATCTCAGTTGTTGCAGTTGCTGATTCTTGTGTTTCTATGCATACTCAGGATGTATCACTACATAGAAGGAGAATCTTTCCTGAAACTGTATGTGCTGTTCAACATGTTGGATCCTCGGCAGCAGTCTCAGGCCTTGCCGAACTCCACCTGTGTCTAACTGGCTTCGCAGGGACCAAGTTGTCTCTCAGAATGAGCTTGCAAGCCAGGAGATGTTTGAACGTTGGTGCCGATCTGTCGGAGTGGACTTGTTCGATCTGCTTCTGGCATCCATTCGGCATCCGTGGTACTCGTTACTTTCCAAGTATGGTGCGACTCTGCTTTACTGCTCCTTGTATGAACAAGCGTTGGTCCTTCACTGCAGAGTACAGAGATGCGAGATGTGTTGCTGCTTCATCATCCTCAGTTCCCAAAATGGACACCGCCGGAAAGCAACTGTGCAAAGCTGGGGCAATGGAGCTGTGCAGAATGAGGTTTCGTTCATGCCACCATCCATCTGGTTCGAGTTATCCTTCTGAATGTGGCGATCAATACCTCAAGCAATGCGGTGTATCTTATCATTGCCTCTCGGATGTCTTCAGAAACAATGCTGTCCTCGCAGAGCTGTGCTGGAATACATGCACGGACTGCGCAACCAAGGTCACGAACAACTTTGCAGAGATCAAATCTACCGTGTTCAAGCGCTATGAAGAGAAAAGCCTGTTTCCAATAATTGCGAGTGATATCGTGGAACGCTTCTATGTGATGCTGGACATCATCTTTGTGATAGCCAGATTGACTCCAAGTTGCAATCTGTCCATCTGGATTCCCAGCATTTCCGGGGAAAGTTTTCCTGCGTGGCATGTCAAACCTGCTCTAGCCTCTAGCCTAAGGAGTGTTTCCGAACCTTCGGGGAAGTTCACAGCAGTTGACATCTCGTTCTGGCTGCTCGCAGCGTGAGTGATGCTGCGCTGACATGCTGGTGCCCGGTTGCGCAAGTCGTCTCGACGATGGATGCGGTCAAGTATGCTGTCTGAGGTTGTTGCTACTTGTTGTGCTCGAGATCGGTACCGACTGGATCAAGTTCTGCTTGATCACGAAGTTCAGCGAGATGCAGGCTAAGACCTTCGAGGCGGTTGAGGGGGAGGGCGTTCCATCGCCCAAGAACTCTTTCAGCCGCAGCTCAGTCTTGGTGTTCAGCGTTCGGCCATCATGAAAGTGGGTGTTGGTGCAGACGTGCAGGTGTACTGGGAAGTGCTGCTTGCGGATATCTTGCTCTGCCGATGCGGCAAGCTGGGCAACAGCCAGGCAGGGGCTGGTTTCCGCTGTCATGCTTAAACATACTCGCGAGAGCACATGAAAAGCTCAATTGAAGGTCGTTGGAAGTGGGGAAGATCTGCTACTCAAGGTGGGCAGAGACACCGTCATCAACCATGCTACAGTGAACTGATCGAATCCACGTGCATTCACCATTCCCGATTAATTACTCGCATGACTCTCCCTGAAGGATGGCTCCTCGGCTCAGCACTGGCAGAAGTTCAGCACGAGCTTTATGTAAATTCGTTCTGCTAAGCTTTCCTTATTGCTGCTGACACAAGAATTTCAGGGCATCCATTGGAAGTAGAAACAGGCAATATCTTCAATCAGCTTTTTGCACTAAGCGAGCTTACGCGTGCAACAGCTTGCCACTGTTCTCGATTAACTCGATGATTGGCGCGGTGCGCCAGAATGAAGCAGAGAAGCAGGAACTTTGTCCTCCATGTCCGTGCCTGTGACATGGCTGCCACCTTCGTGTGCACGTGCATTCCGGTGGACATGAGGATGGTCTCCTCGAGTCTTCATGTCCCATCCCTCCTGATTTTAGAGCAGCTGGGTGGGGATGCTAGCGAGGGACCTCAAGATGAAACCACAACAGTTGCTGCGGTCGCCCCTCAGCCCTCACACTCTGCATCGAGTGTCCTCTAAGGACGAGAGCGACACCGGCCTGGAAGAGACAGGCTGGGAAGTCTTCTGCAGCAACATAGTCACAATTACCATGGTTGTCATTTCGCAGCAATAGAAGCTGTAGCAGCACGAGTGCTGCTACTGGTCGTACGTAGTCTTTAGTACCGGTAACTAGTGGAATTTTCAGTACTCGCAGTACCAGCAACACGAGGGGTAGTCGGAGTAGGAGTCGGAGGACCAGGAGTAAGAGTGAGAAGGAGTAGTAGTATGGTACTACTACGAGTACCAGTAATAGTACTAGTAGCAGTAGAGCAGCAACAAGAAGTCCAGCAGTTGCGTGGCAAGCAACCATGGAGCATTCTCCTTGGGTTGCACGTGACTCGAGTGCAGGCCGGCGCCGCCGTTCCGTGGCATCCATTCCTTCAGCCACTCCTTGCAGCGACGGCTCGGCTTCAGCGGCGTGCCAATGACAGCCCTGCAATTCCCACCCTAAGAATGCAACGGGTCATCGCATTATCTACAGTAAGTCCTTGTTGGATGGAAAGACTTCTCCCAAGCCTTTGCACCGTCTTGAGTTGGCTGCTCTGCAGGACCACGATTGTAGCTTTGCACCTCGTTATGCTGGCAAATGCGCCCTGCACAGCGGCTGCACAGTATCCCCGAATTGCGGCCGCTTCGTTGCAAGTAATACTAGAGTTTGTGGAAGTCTTGTTGTGTTCACGCAAGCAGAGATGAGCCCATGCTGCTGGTCTGGTGCCGTGCGCCGTGAGCCGTGTAGGTCATGGTGTTTGTCGTTGGCTTCTTCCTGGTTTGCATCCTGTCGAGCCTCGCCCAGCAAGGAAGTTCGAAAGTGTGCGGGGCGGATAAGTCCAGGCGGCACAAGAAATGCTTTTCAACTGAGGAAGATTCTTCTTGGCCGAGCACTCAGCTCAAGACTGATAATACAGAGCCGCAGACTGTCGTTTCGGTGGTGCCCAGCAACCATATGCGAGTGGTGGGCAAGTCTGCAGGCATCTTCCTTGTGGGCTTCGCTGCGCGACGGCGCAGCCGAATTCCGCGAGGCCCGGAGTTGACACGAGCCAGAAGCCGTCCGCCTCAGTCGAGGGAGGTGATGGCTGATCCTGTTGCTATGTGCTGCCCTGCTTCACGAGCACCGGCCGTGTGAGGGTGTGCCTGAAAGTCATGACATGATGCGTTTAACATGATCTTCGCACGTGCGTAGATGTTCAATTGAAGCCGGATGTGCTCCAGACTACTCGAGATTCAAGCAGCGGCTCGCTGCGGCAAAGAGCGCTCATTGTCCCCTTGGCAACATCGAGTGCTCCCACGGTTCTGCCATCGATGTTTTTTGTCGTGGTTCCATGGGTCCCGCTTTTCAAAACGTCCCGATGTAGGGAGGCCTGTGAAGAATTCATGCCTGCAGTTGAGACACCGGATCGCCGCATCTGCCTCGTATCGTCCGGCAAATTAGTAGCCAGCGTGAAAATGATGTGTCCGGAGGTTTGGAGCTTTTCCCGAAGATCAAGTCACTATGAGCGGCAGCGGGCCATGAGTGCTACGTGCGGCACCTGGGGCTAAGGAGATCGGCTCAACCTGCCTCTTTTTGCACTGTAGCTATGCATCAGGCCAATGTGGGGCATCTCGAACTGGTGCATTGGAGTGTTGAATGATCTCCAGCCCCCTTGATGATTGCTGCGCATGTTTGAGCCGTCCATGGCACCTGTGCCAGCATCAGGTGACTCCGTCGTAATCGACTGCTTTGTACATCTTTGTCCATCGCGTGCTGGATTCTGGGGTCAAGGGACCCAAATCCTGCTGTCTCGGCAAACATCGTATATCAGACGTCGTTACTCGTATCTATGGAGAAGACTTCGACAAGCTGTTTTTTGACATCCGTTTCACCATAGATCATAGAGACCTGGACTTCAGGAATTGTGGTGGTGTCCAAGATGTGTACTGAGTGTGTGTGTGTGTGTGTGT